TGAAAATGTCACCAGAGGCCAGTCTTTACTGATCAACAGGCATCTGAACTCAGTTTTGCAAAGACGTCCCAACCAACTAATATTTTAGTCGATTGTACTGAAACGAGTCTGACAGTAAACGTCTCTCAAAGTGTGACTAACATTAGCCGTGCAAGCAGCAGCAGTCTGCCCACACACCTGGATGGCATGCAGTGTGCACTGCAGGTGGTTACATCTTAGCTTATTCTGACAGCCTTTTTTAGAAGCATTCATTGTGTAGATGAAATACTGACAGACTGATTTTAGGAAAAATGCGTTGTTGAATTTTGAATAACACGATAACGAGCTCATTGGAATTAGTTTCGCCGATGCATTTTAGGGTCGAACAGTTTCATTTCTGACTGAAACAAAGGTTGACTGAACTAGCATCAGTGTTGTGGTCAAATGACCTCTCACTGTTAAGTGGATGGCTTGAGTGGTTTATGTGCATTACTTTTATTGAACCCAGCATGCACACAGTGATAGCAGGTGAACTTGCAAGGTATAATAAATAACAAAAATGATTGATCCATTGCTCTCTCAGACATGAATTCTCTTAATGCTGCTAAAGTTAGAAATGGCAATGTGATTAAAAGTGTGAGGCTGAAACATGCATGTCTGTTTTCTGATGTGTCCCTCAGAGGATTCGCTCCACTGTGGATGAGAAGGAGCAGAAGCAGCTGCTGATGGACCTTGATGTAGTGATGAGGAGTAGTGACTGTCCCTACATTGTGCAGTTCTATGGCGCCCTCTTCAGGGAGGTCTGAAAAACACACCCACCTGTCTTTTTGTTACAGAAACAAAATATACCTGATTCATTCAGTTGATTGCAAATTCTTGAAGGAGTGTAACTTTTATGTCTTTGTTTCAGGGGGACTGTTGGATTTGTATGGAACTTATGTCTACCTCATTAGACAAATTCTACAAATATGTATATTGTGCATTAGATGACGTCATTCCAGAGGAAATATTAGGCAAAATAACATTAGCAGTAAGCAACGATTTCATATTCATGTAATGTAATTTTCCTGTAATGGCATGCATAGCATCAAATAATTAACCAAAGATTTTTTTTCTCTTTGACAGACCGTTAAAGCACTGAACCACTTAAAAGAAAACTTGAAAATAATTCACAGAGGTAAGTTTTCTCATTTTATTCTGATCAGCTATTACTAATTAACTCTCGTCCCAGTTACATTATAGTTAGTTCGTCCTTTACTGTGTTTGCAGACATCAAACCTTCCAACATTCTTATGGACCGAAAGGGGAATATCAAACTGTGCGATTTTGGCATCAGCGGCCAGCTGGTGGACTCCATAGCCAAGACCAGAGATGCAGGCTGCAGGCCTTACATGGCAGTAAGTA